ATATTCTTGGGAGGCCTACTTTGTTGTTCCAGAAGAAACCTCAATTATGTAACTAATAAACTTTTTATACCTCCAAGGTATGTGCATGTGTGCATGTGTGCTGTGCACATGCGTGTGTATGTGTGTGATGTCATCAGTCTTAACATCCAAACCAAATTTGGGGTGTAGGTCCATCCTGATATTTCAGAGTGGCCACAACAGCTAATTTTCTCATCTATTGAAGCTAGCATTGTTGGCAGGAGTTTTGGAATATATTCAAGGAGGTCATGTTATATGTATGCAAATATTCTTGCTTAGACTATGAACATGTAGAAATATTTATTTAAAGAAACTGAAGTAACATTTTACCAATTCACTCTTGTTCTTGTAAATTTCTGATCTGGTGACTCAGAGATGATTAAGGTGAGGCATGCCATCCTTATTTTTAACTGTGTGTGAAGACTTTATAATCATATACTGATCGTATCAGAGCTAGTCTCAGGAGGAAGTAGATGGAACTTTCAAGATAATATGAGGAGAGCTTAATAAAAGGTATATTTGCAAATTAATAGGCCATCAGTAAAAAAAAAAAAAAAAGAGTTCCATACCGGGCTTGTAGGCTAGAGGTCAATATCATTCTTAGACCTGAAGGGTAAAGAGAAGGAGGTAACCACAGTATGAGGAGAGAGGGCTGGTCAGAGAACATTAGAAGCTGAGATTGTGAATGGAGCACATAACCAGCATAAGATAACCATGTAGGGAGGGAGCCCAGAAAACAAATATGCTGATATCACTCTCTCCCTATCATCTCCTGCATGTGGCCCTCCCTTTATTCTCCTCAACAAAACCCATCTGAAAGCCAGAAGAAAAAGATCCCAATAATGCCATCCTTATAGGTCAGCACTGGGCTGGGTAAGAATGAAGAGAAGAGATCTGAAGTGGCAAAGGAAAGATGTCCAGACACAGGATTTTCTCTATGCATAAAGAAGTAATAAAGTAATACTATAAATCTATTCTCAAAATTATTGTTATTCTTCCTTTCATTTTTATTTTATTTATTTTAGTCCTCATCTGAGGATACATTTTTACTGATTTTAGAGAGGAGGATGGGACGGGGCAGAAAGAGAAACACCCATCTATTGCCTCCCATATGCACCCTACCAGGGATCAAACCCTCAGTCCAGGCATGTGCCCTGACCGGGAATAAAACCGGCAAACTTTCAACGCATGGAGCAATGTTCCTGCCAACTGAGCCTCTCCGACCAGGGACCTGTTCTTTCTTTTACCAGAAAAATATATCCTTTGGTTTTATTATATTTACAGAAGTGATAATGCTTTTCATGTCCCTAACAAGTTCTGTAAAATTTCCTGTACTAATTAATTCTAAACATTTTTATGTGCATCAAGTGTCTAGTCTCTTTAGCTGCTGCTACTAAGAATAAGCATCCCCTTAACACATGGAGCGAATGAAAATAACTCTGAGGTTTTCTCATTACATCTTAAGATATGGCTTTGTTTTTCCCTTTAATTTTAAACTTTGGGTACTTATGTTCATACTACACTATAAGAGATATAATGCTTTTGATTCAACCCATGACTAGACTAAGAGCAATTTCATTGTTTCTGCAATGATTTTATAACATTAAAATATTAGTAAGGATACATGTTTGAAATAATCCAGAACACAGTTTATATTTTTCCCTTTGCTAGTTAACACTAGTCAATTATTTTATATTAAAAACCAAAACACCTGTAAATGAACACAGACTAGACTAGAAACCAGTATGCTTATGCAATGAAGAGAACATGATTGATTGTGTTAATTATTTTTCTGTAAAAGAAAGGCTTTATTTTCACTAAGTACCTTTGCAAATATTTTCAGGAGTAAAATAAGGCAGCCTTAGCTTATGTTTCTAATCTTTAGAAATTCACCCAGATTCTCTTCAATAGAAAAGTCAGTGTCTTATATTCTGATATTCTCTGATGTATCATGGTGTGTCCTGGCAAATGAAGGTTCTACTTGACGGCTGGTAGAAAAAAAGTTCTTTTTTCCTATTTCTTCCATCTCAATGAGGTGACACTAAATTGCAAGATAAGTATGAAACAACAGGAAATGAGAAGACTCCTGGTGTTTATTTTATATAAGTAGTCATGATAATTGAAATAGTTTTACATTAGTGTAAAATTATGGTTAAAAACAACAAATTTTTAGAAAGAATACATATGTTTGAAAAAAGTTTTATTTCCTTTCCCAAAATCTGGTTTTATCATGGTTGTTTATAGTCATTTGGTTGATCAATAAAAGACATATAACAGAAAAAATAAATATTGGAAATTCACATTTCAGAAGAATAATTACCTAATTTCACAGACTTAACCATCTAAAAGCAAATAAAGGCATGGATGAGTACTTGGAATTAGCCGAGTAATTATAAATATGTACAATAAAATATTACAGGTTTTTTTCAGGAATGCCACTATTTTTCTATCATATATTCATTTATTCACTAAAGGCTAAATTTAAGTAAATTACATATTAAAGTTAGCTTTAGCAACTAAATATAAAACTTCTGCTAGTAGCAAAAAAAATATCTATAATTCAGTAGCCTTTCATTAGAAAAATAGGCAGAAGTGGGAACATAGAAAATGGAGAAGGCATGTCCTAAACAGACAGAAGAGCTATTTAGGAATTCTGGTTGATTTTTTCCCCAAAAGAATGCAGTACTAGTGTTATAAATTTTTCAGATGTTTTCAGATAAATTGGAAATATCCTTATCACTAATTTAAAATATTTAAAAGCACTGTCAACTCAACAAAATATGTTCTGATTTGGCTAGAAGGTTGACATTGCTTTACATAAAGTTTTAGAAAAAATAGATGATACTAAAGTGCATATATACATTTTCCTTTCATTTGAAATATACTCTAGGATTTTGTGGTGTTGCTGTATCATTTGAGAGCATCAATTGTTAAAGTGATAGATTAAAATAATAGGTGATTTGAACGTATTGTCTGTGTTGATTAAAGACAGAGTTTAATGTATAATAGAAAAAATAAAAAAGGAAATACTATTTCAAATGACTCACCATGTGCTAATTACTGTGGGAACTTAGATATGATATTTTCTTTAACTTTCACAAAACTAGGTGTCATTAGCTCCATTAAAGGTTGAGAAAAATGAAATATAGTATCTCTTTTAAAATAGCACACAACTTTTAAGTCATAAACCCAGGTTTCTCTGCCTCTAGTACTTTTACCCCCAATATAACTGACTGCCAGCTTAGCACTTAATACAAACCATATTCTTTTGTTGTTGTTAATCCTCACCCGAGGATATTTTTCTATTGCTCTTTAGATAGAATGGAAGGGAGGGAGGGAGACAGAGAGAGACACACCTACGTGAAAGAAACACATTAATTGGTTGCCTCTTGCGTGACCCCGAACTTGGTAGAGATCAAACATGCAACCCAGGTATGTGCCCTTGACCGGGAATCGACCCTTCAGTGCGTGGGCCAATGCTTTAACCACCGAGCCAAACCAGCCAGGGCAAACCATGTTCTTATGGGTTAACAGAACACTGTGTGTTTTAAATTTAGGGAACATTTCTATAGATGAAACTTTACTTGGGCTTTGAATATGGTAAGAATAGTTAATGGGCATAAATAAACAGCACAACTATTACACCAAAGATAACTAAGGTAAACAATCCAGTTCCTCTTTGGGCAGCAAATTTGTCAATGAGGAGCTGTGATTTATGTAGCGAAAACTATGGAGAAGGCATTATACAATTTGATCCCAGACAACTGTGGTGTGTGGGAACCATCCTGGGCTTTGGAGGTTGAAGAATCAGGTTCGAGAAAAGTACTTCTGCCTCACCAAAAGACACGGTGTCCTCTCTGAACCTGTCTCCTCTTAGAAAAATGGGAATGATACCCATTTCATAGGACAACTGTAAGAATGTTTTAATGCTATTTAAATATAATATCTTTAAGTGCTAGTTCTTGCTGCCTGTGTAGATACAATTGTATGATTATAGAAATGTTTTACAATTTATTTTGCTTAATATATGCCTTCATTTTTTAAATTACTACATGCAGTAAAATAACAACAATAACAACAATAAAAAAGAAAGAAACAATTAGAAACCCACAAAAAATACTCCTATTGCATAATAAAATGTTTAAGAAAGAGCCAAAATGGGCTATAATACACTTCCCCATGACAAGGATTTTGTTAAAGCGAGACTTTAAGATAATTTAAATGACTCCATTGCACATTTCCATTAGATGAGGCTCTCCTTGAACACTGACAGATATTGTAATGCTCATTACTATCCAAACCCAGACTCTACTAGTCTCACACTGCATACGCTCGTGTCCATACCCGAGGGTGGGAGACAGCGCTTGTGTGTGTGTGTGTGTGTGTGTGTGTGTGTATAAAGCCTCATTATCAAATTTTTTGAAGACCTATAATTCAGAACTACCAAATTGCCTAACTCTAACATTTAAAATTCATTTCCCCCATTACTCAAAAGACACCCGGATATACTACCAGTGGTAAGAGTTCAAATGATGAGACTTATACAATATCATCATAGTGAACAAGAATTTCTCCTTCCATTGGAAGGAATCCTATAGTGAAAAGAGCCTGAGCTTTTATCTTCTTAGGATGAATATTTCTGAGAGATCAAATATGCTTTGTTTCCCAGAATAACTAAAGACATATATTTTCACATCTTTTAGGCAGTATCAGCAGGCTACAACACCTTTTATCTTGTTAAACATTCTGAAATATATGCTTACTATTACCCTCATATGCATTTATTTATTATTTCCCATAATTTTACTACATAGACGCATCAAAATGTTTTACAAAGATTTTTCAGAGAAGCAAAAAAAGAAAATCACGGATGAATTTAAATCACTTTGCAAGAAATGTCTTATGTTTGAAACAGAAATACAGTAATTAGGTCACCTGAGGAAAGAGTGTTTGAAAAATAATTATCTTTTATAAAGACTTACCATTTGCAGTCTTATTCAAACTCCACGTGTAGTAGTTCCCCCAAACGGTAGTGATTGCATGCAAAGATGAAACGAGAATCATTTTTTAAACTGTAACTTGCTCTTAGGGCATTATGTGTGGAGCCAGCTTCACGTTGTGCAAGCTGGGCAGTTGCAAAGGACCCCATGCTTCAGGGCCCTGTACTTGGTTCAATGCTCGGCTGATGCTGTCTTAAAATTCTTCACAATTCTGTACAAAAGGCATCATATTTTCATTTTTCACTGAGCTTTGCAAATTATTTAGCTGAACTTAAATGGTAAGTGAGTTTTTGTTGATTCCCCTATCAACCAGCAATACAGTCCTCTTTCACAGGGCCTGTCTCTTTCTCACATTAACGGAACCACTGACATTCAAAAAAACATGCCAAAAAATGAAAACTGACAACACACAATCCTGTACTGCTTCTTAAAATTATTAAAGATTTCAAAGACATTTTCAGCCCTGGCCGGTTTTGCTCAGTGGTTAGAGCGTCAGCCTGCAGACCCAAGAGTCCCTGGTTCGGTTCCCGCTAAGGGCACGTACCTCAGTTGCAGTTTGTCTCTGGCCCTGGTTGGGGTCGTGTGGGTGGCAACCACTCGATGTGTCTCTCTCACATCGATGTTTCTCTCTCTTTCCTCCCTCTCTCCCTCCAGCTCTATCTGAGGATAAATGCAAAAATGTCCTCGGGTGAGGATAAAAAATAAATAAAATAAAAGACATTTTCAATTTCCTACTAATACTGAAGTAGAAATAATCTGATGACTCTCTTAGACCATTTGTAGGATCCCATCAAACCTTATGTTAAATTGAGAGATAGGTATATGATCAGAGAATAAGAGTTTATTGAAATTATTGAATTCACTACTATATAAGTGCATTATTTAATTTTTTTCATATATATACACATGTCTTATTATATAATCAGATTTTATTGTGAATTGTTTATATATATCAGATGCACCAGGAATATTTATTAATGCTGCAGAATTATGGGCCTTGTCCCCTGAATTTTTAATTCAGTAGCTAGGGGATGGCAAGAACAGTAGTCTATATGTTTAGTAATTGCCCCAAGTAAATTTAACCCTGGATGAAATTAACCATTTTCTATTCTGCTTTGTTTACTTAATGATATAACATTTTTCTATGTATTAACATGGTATTCAAAACTGTTTTAAAGGCAGTTTAATATTCCATCATGTGGCAATGCTATAATTTATTAAGTTGTTATTGTATATACTATATCTGGAGTATTAAAATAATCAATTAAATAAAAACTTCTGTAAACTGTAAGATAATCAAATGAGTAGCAGAATAAAGAATAAATATGCAGAATTACTGTTCTTCATTTAGACATAGTATAATCATCTATTAATGGATAAAATGAAATGAAAAGTAATAAAAGTATATAGTACATAGGAATAAACATCAAAACAGCTGTCCAATTTATAAAAATATCATTCAAAATGAAAAATGCTCCACCACTAGCATATACACATTGATATGAGAGAAGGCACTTACCTCTGTGGAATTATTCCCCCAAACCCATAACCACACAGTCTAATAATGAAGAAACACCAATTGAGGGACCTTGTGCAAAATACCTGAGCATGTCCTGTGTGAATCCACCGGAAGAGGACTCTTGGAAGCTTGTGCCTGAATTCCTCTGAATTTCATAATGTACTTTTTCACTTCATTGATTTTGCTTTATGTCCTTCCATTGTAATAAATCTAGGTGTGAGTACAAAAACATAAAAAATATTGTCAAGGCCATGCAAAAAAAGGAAAAACTGAGAATTCTGAATTCTAACTCTGAATTCTCTCTTTTGTTTCACTGATTCGCCTTTAAACCAATGCCATACCCTCTTGATTATTTTAGTTCTATAAAAATAATGGAGTTCAAATAATATGAGTCTTTAAATTTTATTGTTCTATTTCAGAGTTGTTTTGGCAAGGGGTTTTTCATTTCCACTAAAAGTATTCATCAGCTTGTCAATTTTTACAAAACATCCTGCTGATTTTGCCTGGAATTGCATTAAATTTACTTATCAGTTTAATATATTGAAACTTCTCATTAATTGTCATAAGATTCCATATATTTAGATGCTCTTTAAATTCTTTTTTCTTTATTGGTTTTTAGAGAGAGAGGAAGGGAGAGGGAGAAAGAGATAGAAACATCAACTGGCTGCCTCCTGCATGTCCCCCCTGGGGATCTGGTCCATAACCTGGGCATGTGCCCTGACAGGGAATCAAACCAGTGACCTCTTGGTGCATGGGTCAGTGCTTAACCAGAGTCACACCGGCCAGGCTAGATCCTCTTTAATTTCAATCAACAAAGTTTCATATTTTTTAATGTATGTATCTTCTGTATCTTTTCCTCAAATGTATCCCATAGTAGTTCATATTTTTATGCTCTGATAAATGGTCCTGTTTTTATATTTTCAATTCCCTATTATTTGTTACTAGTATAAAATAATGCAATTGATTGTTGTCTATTGGGCATAAATCTTTTGAACTTTGATAAATGAATTTATTAGTTTTAGTAGCTTCTCCATTCACTCCTGCCTAAAACTGTGGGATATTCTACACAGAAATGAAGTTATTTCTAAATAAAGAAAGTTTTACTTATTTCTTTCTAATCTTTATGCTGTTTTCACCTTCCTTACTGTTCTGACTACAACCTCAGAGACAATGATAGTATAAGTGGTGATAATGGGCACCCTTGGCTTGTTCCTGATCTCAGTAGGAAAGAATTAAGTCTTTATATTAAGTATTATGTTGATGTAGATTGTTAGTAGATGTCCTTTATAACATCGAGGAAATTCCTATAGATCTGTGCAAGGTCTGAAATTTTACTATACTTCCAAGCTAACAAGTTAGCCTGCCACAGTTTAATGGCTACTGGCAGAAGGCAGAAGACTTCTAACTCAAAGAAAAAAATATTTTTAACTCACGTTGTCAGCTACTGCTGAAGAACCAGCCCATTCTTGCAGTAGTTGTTGATCCCTAAATGAGGTAAAGAGGGTCAAGTTATACATGCATACTCAGTGATGTAAAGAGGGTCAAGCTATATCTGAACACTGAGTGTGTTATATTACTGAAGAACTCTGATGTTAGGGGACTCAAATAATCTATAATAGGCAGAAAGTATGTCTGGCATGTGCCCAGAGATAGACATTATCTTTACTAAACATGTAAGGGTGTGCACCGTTTATTCTGAAGGGAGACACTTTCTCAATTTTTCAAGCCTATTGCTCTACAAATATTCTTTAAAAAGATAGTGCAAAATAAAAGTACTATCAATACCTTGCTTGTAAGACATACAAAAATACAAGAGAGCTAATGACAATGTTCTCCCAACCATTTCCTTCTATTCATGTTGAGTTCTGAACATAAATGAATGTTTGATTTTGTTAAATGCTTTTTAATATCGACAATAAATATATGGCTTTTAATCTTCATTATGATAATATAGTGTATTTTGTTTATTTATTTTTAGAAGTTAAAAAAACTTCCAATCTTGGGTTAAACACCTCTTGGTCATGATGAAAAATTCTTTCTTATATGTTGATTGACTTAGTTTGCTATACTTTGAAAATTTTAGCATCAATGTTGATGAGGCAGATAGGTGTCATTCCCTATTCTTTTGATGTGTTGCTAGTTTCATTAGATTCCTACCGGTCTCATAAATGAGCTAGAAAATTATCCCTTCTCTATTTCTGAATAAGTTTGCATAGGGCTGGTATTATTACTTTCTTTATTTTGACAGAATTCACCAATGAAGCCCTTTTGGCCATTTTTTAAAGGATGGTATTAAAAAGCTTCAACGACTTTGCTTGATAGAAATCTACTCAATTTTTCTACTTAAAAAAATTAATTTAGGTAACTTGTGTCTTTCTAGGAATATATTTCATCTAAGTTATGTAATATGTTGAAATAAAGTTGTTTATAACATTCCCTTCAAATCTACTAATATTGACAGAGCTTTTTTTATAGGTGTCCCTCTTTAATTGCTGATGGTAATTTTTGCATTCTCTTCTCTTCCTTGATCTAACTAGCTAAAAGATTGTCAAATTTTATTGATCATTTATAGAGACAACTTTTCATTCATTTTCCTTAAATCTTTTGTTTTCTATTTTATTGATTTATGTTCTGATCTTCATTTCCTTATTCTCCATTGAATTTGATTTGCTTTTCTTTTTGTAGTTTCCTGAAGTATAAATCTAGCTTAATAATTTTGTCTTTGTTTTTGTCTTTAAGTAGTGTGGTTTTGATTTGTCTAGATGTCATTTTCTTTGTGTTCTTTCTACTAGATTTCCTTTCAGCTCTTAACTTATAATTTAATTTTTTAAAGCAAATTTTACATGTTTTAGCTGTTTTTTTCTCTCTTCAAATAGTTTTTCCTGTACCATTTAATTACTTTTCTCATGCTGGGACTCCTTTTATTTGTATATTGGGATGCTTATGACTGCATGATGGCTTTCTGAAATTCTGTTCATTTTCTTTCCATTAGTTGTCTGTATTTTCCATATTGGAAACCTTCTGGGCTTCCATCTTCAAATTGATTATTTGTTTATGACATGTAAAATTTTCTGTTGAGTTTATCTACTACATTTTTTCATGTTGGTGGTTGCAGTATACAATTCTGGGATTTCAACATTATCCTCTTTTTATAGCTTCAATTTTCCAATTAAGCTCTGCTATTCATTGAGTCATTATCATATATATTTCGTTTAATTCAGTCAGTATATATATATACACACACATTTTTTTTTCCTGATTCTGGAGACAGAAAATTTGATCCAAGTCCTCATTCTGACACTTTCAAATTATGTGACCTTACATAAACTACTTGATCCTTTTGACCCTCAGTTTTCTAGACTTTAATAATAGCAGTGGCCTCATAGAGTTCTTGTGAGGATTTAAGAGGTAGTTGCATGCAAAGTACTTAGTATAATGTCTGGAACAGAGCAAGCATTTCAGAGGTAAGAACTCCTGTCATATAAAAACCCCTGAACATGTTTCCAATGTTCAGCTGGGTGAGATTGTACTGATCTTCCTAAAGGCTTTTGTGTTCATTTACTACGGATCATGTGACAACTGTGTCTAGCTAAATCAAGAGAGATCAGTGAAATACACACTTAGGAGAACACTGGGGGGAAGTGATAATAGAATGACAGTTAATATATTAACCTGGGTACATTCTCTTAATATGTTTCTTTTTCTTTTTCAATATGGTAGTCATAATTCCATGCTCTAGAGCTGTGGGTGTTTTAGTGTTTGTTGATTTATTTTGTAAGAGTAATTTCAAAAGATGCTGAAAGTCAGAGGAGTTTGGGTTTTGCTTTGTTTTGTAAAATCCTGAGTAAATTCATCAGATTAGCATAGGTATGAACAGGCATAGGGGAGTGACAGAAATATGAGTAAGGCATTGAGAGAGGAGGAAAGAGGAGAGATCCTTGGAAGTTAGTATATCAGTTAGGTTTCAAGTGTCTTTTTTTTTTCTTTACTGATTTTTAGAGAGAGAGGAAGGGAGAGGGAAAGATAGAAACGTTGATAAGAAAGAACATCGATTGGCTGCCTCCTGCATTACCCCACTGGGGATTTGGCCCACAACCTGGGCATGTGCCCTGACGAGAAATCAAATCAGTGACCTCTTGGTGCATGGGTCAACGCTCAACCACTGAAACACACCAGCTGGGCAAGTGTCTTTTTGAATGAAAGAGAAAAGAAAATGTTTGCCGTGTTATACCATCGTATACAAGCTGAATACCAGGGACTGGGGAAGTTTTATTGGCATCCCCACTGGTAACAGAAGCTGTTCATACCCCACACTGTATCTCGTTATCCCTCCATTCCGTTTCCATGTATCTGCAGTTCCTGTGTACACAGAGCTTCTGACTTAAACACGTATATCTCTCTGCTTCTCAGCCTGAGTGCTTTTACTGGGAACATGAGAACTTGCTCAACCCAAGCACAGGCCAGCCTTAACATGCCAGACACAAGGTCACCCACCCAAGGCAAATCTCAACCAAGAAAGAGCAGGAATCAATGATAAACACACTAGCTTCCTAATCCCCTGGTGGACAATTCTAAGTCCATTGGTCCCTCAAAGCATTCCCAGGAGAATTGAGTCCCAGTTGCCTGTAGCAATAACCTCAACCCATTAATCAAATTAAAACGCTGTAGTTCCCCATTACACTTTTCCCATCCCTGTACTGGTGCTTCCTGAGATAACTTCAACTATAACCTTCTGTCCCCAAGTCCCGTCTTAGGGTCAGTTTTACAAGAACTCAAACCAAGATGTGATCTGATTACATTGAACATTCTCCACAATCACTCCTCAAGATCTATGTGGAATTTGCTTGGTCAAAGAGGCAATTTAAATAAAGATATGAAAGGAATAAACATTGCTATAATGCCCAAGCTTTTGCCAGTGACACTACCTTCTGTATTGTCTTCAGAAGTGATATTGATTTTTAATTTAATATCACAGCAAAGTTTGGGCACCAGGAATGTGAATTTAATTTTTTCTATATAAGGACCCTTAGTTTGTGGCTTAGGAAACCAATATGGATATGCTGCCAGTTACTAGGTAGATAGAGGTAGAGATGATAGATAGATAGATAGATAGATAGATAGATAGATAGATAGATAGACAGACAGACAGATTGATTTCCACTACACATACCCAAACTGGGGAAATAACTGTGGATTTTCTGCAGTACCAATTGCACCTACATTGAGACAGATTTGGACACGGCAGTTCTTGTTATCTAATATCTATAAGTCACACACTGATCAGTGGCCTTAATGGTAAATGGAAAAGTAGGATGATTACTAGCTTTCTTTTTTTTTTTATTTTTTATTTTATCCTCACCCGAGGATATTTTTCCATTTTTTGTACAGATAGAGTGGGAGGGAGAGAGAGGAAGGGAGAGACAGACAGAAACATCGACGTGAAGGGACACATCGAGTGGCTGCCACCCGCACGACCAACCAGGGCCGGGGACAAACTGCAACCGAAGTACGTGCCCTTAGCGGGAACCGAACCCGGGTCTCTCCGGACCGCAGGCCGACGCTCTAACCGCTGAGCCAAACTGGCCAGGGCGATTACTAGCTTTCATTTGAAGTCATTGTCTAAAAACCTCCAGAAAACCTGAAAGTTTTCCTTTATTCAAGGCACACAACCTTGTATATGAGCACAGATCATGAATGCTTGGTGGAAGAATTACACTGTACACTTGTGGCCACATTGCAAAGAATCCAGCCTTCTCCTTCATCAAGTAACTCTGGGTCTGCAAACTGAGTAAAGGGTTGTGAATAACCACTGTAGTGACTTGAGTCAGGTTTCTTCCCACTGGATCTAGAATTTATCTGTTTAAATAAGTTGAGGCTGCCCCGCTATTTCATTCATAGGTTTTCCTCCCTTAATCAATTGCTTACTTATCAACACAGAAGCCTGAGAGGCATAACACTCCATGTGCACTCAGTTAATCAGTAGTAAAAACTGAGCCACCTGTGCGGACAAGCTGCTACCCATCCCCCTTCATTCTGTGATCCAACTATTCCTACTGTAATTAAGCAACCTGATTACATACTGGCATTGTCCATGATCATCTCTGGCCTTGAGGAGCACCAGGTTCCAAAAACTGTTTTATAGATGATAATATTGTGCTTTTTAGCATGGAGGGAGGGTTCCTTAAGCTTTCTTAGGCTTAGGAGGTGGCTGAACTGATTATACATGAGAGTTCCACTCCAACATTCCTATATCCCTGAGTTTTCATAAGTTTTCCTCTAGATTATGTTTGGGAAGTTCCAATATCTCACATCCCTATTGGGTCAGTTTTAAAGCCAGGCCCACAATCACATTTTTGAGCCAATAACATAAACCACAAAGTCCAGATGAATATACTCATACCAATAAAATAAGCTTAAGCCAACTTTTCATGTGTCATCTTTGGACCAGTGCCCTTAAAATCCATTTCCATGCATGCTCCCTCTGTTCTTATAGATTCTAATTGGCAAGTTTCTGCACAATGTTTAGTGTCTATGCTATCTCCTCCTT